AGTACAAGCAAGAGATACTAATTGGCGACCTCCCTTTTTAAACCCATTTGGAAGTTTGCAATGAATTAAATAAACCAGGATATTTTTAAAATTCTTATTATTTGTTTCTGACAAATTATCTAAATTATTTCGCGGAATGTTATATTTTTTCACAATAGTCAAATGCCGTGAAAGTCCGCTTTGCTTCTTGAATATTTTTTGACAAGCGGAATAGGAAAATTCTGATGTAGTTATGAGTGGAATAGTGCTTGACATATTAATATTACCACTACAATAATCTGAAAAGTTAAGCATAACGATAAGAATACTTTTTAAATACTTTATAAATATTATTTTATAAATTTTTAAAAGTTACCATTAGTAATAGTCAACATTGAAATCGCGAGACGCCAGTTACCTTCTGCTACTCGAGCTCATTGGGTTTTGGCTCTGCTCATCGGTTTGACGCATTTTTTCATATGTTTTTTTTTATTTTAGGGTAAGTTCGCTAAATTTGATCATTTGATTTTTTTTTTTACTAATTGGTGTAGTGTAACGTTGATCAAAATTATTATGATTTGGGGTTTAAAATTTGATCCAATTTCGATAATTAGCTGATATGTTGGGATTTTTTTTTGTTTTTTTAATTCATTTATGAGGGAAGTTATTTTATTTTATTTTTTTCATTTCAACAAACTGTTATTAACAGTCCAGTTTTTTTCTTTTATAAATGATTTTCTGGTCTTTTGAGTATACGGACTCGGTTGGTATTATTATTCAGGTTAATCTATAAGCATGGCTATTAATTATTCTTTAATGAATCGAGTTAGAGCGGATAATTGATTTATGTTAGATTGTTAGAATATCAATTATATTACTGGTAAATAAAATATAGTATTTCAGTTTAATAAATAAATTGACAATCAGAAAATTTTATAATAAAAATTAATAATAATTGGAGATTCTAATATAAATAAATTGAAAAATTAATAACAATCAGAAGATTATATATAAAAGTAGTTTTTAGATTGGAAATTATTTTCGATAAAGCTGATATGTAGAATTTGGCCGAAATTATGTTAATTCCAGCTAGAAAATAAAATCGTGTCAAATTACATTATTTTAGTCACACATACTTTTTAAGATACCATATTATATATTCTTTAATTATACAATATTTTGTGTAACAAAATTTGATATGTTCGGGTAATGAACGATATGTAAATAATATATAATAACTTATTAAGAATAGGCTAAGATGATAACAACTCTAGCATCGCCCAGAAAAAATGGTAGCCAGATTAATTTGCAGGGCCACACGTGACTTTCAGATGCTGATTATTGGGTAAAATCACATTTTTTTTTCCAATAAAAATCATAGAATTTATAATAAATAATTTGTAATTATGATTCCAATTTTAAATATAAAAGAATGCAAATAGTTTGAATATATTTTATTTCACTTATAGAATTTATTATTCCCAATACATTGTATTATTATTAAAATTTTGCTATGTTTTTGGCATCGTTCTTCTATTTTCTAGCGCTATAATGTCATTGTTCATTCGTTCTAATGATCTAAAATTTGGGCAAACATTTTTCAACCATAAATGTCTTTTTGGTTTGTTACGTGAATTTTCTAACAACTCTTTGGCCTTAAATGCAATTAGAAAATATGAATTAATAAAGATTAATATGCAATTAGAACTACATACAAAATTCTCATTATATATAAAATTATAATTACTTTGTCCAAGATTCCATGCAAATAAGTTAAATCTGCTTCATACATATCTTCTTCTTCATCACTTTCAATAATATAATCATTTTCATGCTCAACAATTGAATCTTGGATTAATGGAATGCTTATTTTGTGATTTTGGGAATCTTCCAAGCAAAATACATTCACAAATTTACCTTCATAAGACGAAATTAATGGATAATTTCCATTTCGTTGTACCTGTAATGTAAAATAATATTTTTAATTCATAATCTATCATACACATATATATATTAAAATGAATTACATCTTACTTACTTTTTTAAAGAATATTGCATCAGCCTTCTCAACAGAGTTGATCAAATGTTTACATAAAAAAAAATGACTATGGATGTATGCAAGACATGCACATATCCATTTTATTGAATCAGTAAAATAATTGTTATTTGATCTTATTTCTTTTTTTTCATGTTGTTTCCATTCTTTTTTAAACTCTTTTCTCCATGGTACTGAATATCGGCCTTGTTGAAGTAATTGAATCCGATATAATTGTTGAACAAGAACTTTTTTAATGAGAATGTAACATAAATGATCAACTCAGGGCTTGTAAAATTTATACAAATAATCATGTTTAATATGTCGCCAATGTGATTCAATGATCATTGTTGTTTTGATATGGCTAATATTTTCATTAATCGAACGTGCCCACAAAGTCCATTTTTCTTTTGTATACTACTCTTTCCAGAGGTATATCCACAGTTGAAGCAAATTATTGTTTTTGCAGAACTGAAACATTTCACTAATACATTCCTTCCAAATTTCATTTGCATCAATAATGAAGGTACCATTAGATTTTGGTAGTAACATATGCCGACTTGAATGATTTTCTACAAGTTTAATTACTGTTTTTCGCAAATCTAAGAGGCAAAATATGGTTGAATTTGAATTATTTACAATTTCCCAATTAGGATCTATTAATGAACATTCTTCATGTGCAATTTTGGGATTGTAAGAATAATATACACCTTTTTTATTTGATGCTAACCGCTGTTTAATAGCACGTTGTACATGTCACATACATAATTGTAAATGAGCTTCAGGCCATACTGTTTTTGATGCATTTATTTCTGAAAAATCTTTATCGGTTAAAATAAAGGGAAAATATCTTAAATTTCGTTCTTTTAAAGCTTGCATCCAATATGTAAGGATTTCTGTTATATTTCTATTTTTTCCAGCCGAAATTAAGAGATAGCTGAGAGGAAATCCAGTGCCATCAATTACACCCATGATTGCATACAATTCCCATGACAAATTATTAGTTCCATAGGTTGTATCAATTACAATAGCATCAAATTTATTATAAATCAATCGATCAAATAATGTTGTCAGAAATCCAAGAGCAGGTAAAGAAGAATCAAGACTATTCACTATGATTTCCAAGTTGGATTCTTCCAATAAAATTTTTGTTGATAATAAAGGATCTGAATGTCGACAATATATCTTGTGAGACTCAATTGACCACCAATAATAGATTTGTTGAATAGTTATACTCTCATATCCATTAATTTGACATTCACGAACCTGGTGGCAAATCTCAGAAGCAGAACAATTAATATTCTCTTAAATAAATTTTTTGATTTCTGGATAAGTTTTAATGTGATTTGGTCATGGATGTAATATTTTATGAGAATATTTAACCATGATTAAATCTGACTCAGAAAAAATTTCTATATTTATTATTCCTTCACAATTGTATCGTTCTTAAAAGGTAGGTGTATCCCTCTGTTTCAGTTATCTACTATAGGATGTTTGGCCTGTCGTTTTCCAAGTTCAATTCGGCAATTGCAATAATATATTAAGAGTACAGAATTTTTTTTTTTGATTTTTATCCCGGTAAACCCATGAATATTCATCACCCTCTGAGATAGATGTAATTATGTGATGGGCCATTTCTATTTCATGATTTTCTTTGTTTGACGATCCATCTTTTTCTAAAATAAAATCAAGAAAAGACGAAAGTTCAATATAAAAACTCATATTTAATTTCTCATTTTCTCCTTCATAAAATTCATTTGTATTATTTAAAGAAATTAGAAAGTTATATATGGTTTCAGTAATATCAGTATAGCAAATTATCTTATCCAGCTCAAGTTTTTTATTTTTTGATCGAGTTATTTTAAGCTTATTTCGGCATTTTAAGCACTTTTTTAAGACAACACCATTTTCATTTAGAAATTCTTCATATTTTTGAGAAACATGACACCCTTTGCAAGTTTTATTTTGTTGGTTTGACATTGTGGCGTAGTAAAAGGAGTAGAGGGAATAAATAATTTAACGAAAGCCTTGATTGAAATCATGATGTACACAATGTAACAACCGGAAATCAGTATCCGAAAGTCACGTGCGACCCTGCAAATTAATCCGGCTACCATTTTTTCTATGTAAGTTCGAGATGATGAAAAAATCACGTGCGCGTTCTGTTTTGGAACGCTAATCACTTCATGCAATCATAACCATTTTTATTTTTTCCTATGCAAATTTTACACCCACCACTACACCGCATACGCGTTAAAAGATAAAGCCCAATGTGGACGAAACTTTATTAAAATACATTTTCATTATTTTTACGAAAAATAGGTATATACTTAGTACTGTGCAATTCAAATGTTTATTACCAACTTTTGATTGAATCACGCAGAAAACTGACTTTATATTGTACAAAAAAACATAAATAAGAAAAATACAAACATTTTTCTGCTATTATAATTTAGATCGAATGGGAAAGCTACCTGGATCGCTATCTGCATAAGTAGCTGTGATGCCTTTTTTGTGTTTTTCTTTTTGCGGAGTAAATGGGTGTGATGGGAGAATACCAGAAAGATTGGACACATTCGTATCTGAATCGTTGTGTTCTTCTTGTAGTTTATAAATAACTTCGGCAACTTCCAGCAACCAACACTATGGATTGAGAAGACAAGTTAATGACAAAGCATAGTAGAACAAAACAGTCGAAAGAAGGATATATTACCCTGAGATCCCACAAGACAATAACAAAATCAAAGAAGCACTTTCGCTCCTCCTCAAAGCAGATAGGAACGACTGTCTTATGTGTCCGTTCGTATTGTAGGACTCCGCAGGACGGAACATGCATTCTCCACAATTCAATCCGGTTTGCTATGAAACGCAAAGGTTAGAATAACAAATTATAGAAGCAATGCACTTTAAAAGAAACACGCTTTAAACACCCACCATAGGTGTGTATAGAAAAGACGCTTAATTTCGAGAATGTTTCAGTCGAAGCTTCTCGAAATCGCTCTCCAATCTCTTCCAACATGTAAGAATTTCCGATCGGCAACTTACAACATCCGTCCCACGTTGATCTAGGAAGATCTTTGTGTGCGTACCCACCGCTCATTTCTAAATGTCCAACCTCAATAATAGATTTCTTTAGCCGCACAAGGAAGACTCCATCTGCCTTCTGCTCAAATGATGTGATGCATTGCGTCTCTCGCGACATGACTTAACTGAAGAGAGTATTATCTCTCCTCTTATGTAAAAAGTACAAATGCGTAAGTAACAATCAATAGAATCTCTAGAAAATTAATGAAAATCGAAGCTACTACTTACACATGATAGTGTATGCTCTTCTCTAAACCGAAAATCACAGCTTGCATTGAAGGATGTATAGCGTAACCTCCGTAGTCTGATTCCGATACATCTGATTGTTGCATCACAGAAAACTCCGGAAACACTTTTTGATGACTATGAGAAAAGGAAAAAGTTTAGCGGATGAAAACTGGCAAGTTGTAACAAAAGATGCTTACAATATAGACAAAATGTTAATATAAAAACTTGTGAAAGCATCTTGCAGAGGAAACATAACGCAAGGTATTTTGAGCCCCTCCAAGAGAAGTTTTCTAACATTTTCATCTTTAACTGTTTCATGAATATTATTCAGAAGTCGAATTTCCTCTATGCTTTGTCCTAAAGATTCAAGTGACTTCTATTGCAAAAGTGTAAGTTTTAGAATTCTTCAAGAATAAAGTAAGGAACTAGCATAAAAAGAAAGGCATACTTGTCTTTGAAGCCAAGATATTGCTTCCGTACGATTATAAATAGTTGCACGTCTTGTATATCTTTGGATTTCCGAATAATCCTCGCTGCTACACCATTTCGGTTTCGCAATTTTATAACCACACCGAACGATTCTCCAAGCTTCAGGTCTAAAATTAAATAATTAGAATTGGCACAGTCACAAATACTAGTTAATAATCTTAATAATCCACAATCTACCTAAGAGGATGTCCTTTTTTACGAGCAAATTTATCCAAAAGATCAGCCATAACCGCACCAGATTTTAGTGTCCATTTCTTCCAAATATCCTCGTTAAAGAGACGCATCTGTTTCTTGAAGGGCCAGCTCAGAATCAATAATTATTCCCTCTTCGTAATTTCTGAGCCCGTAATCAAAATTCACACTCTGAAAATAATTTAACTTTTGAAAAAATGGTTGAAAAGACAAAAACGGTCCAGTAATTGTTTATTGTCTCTAACCTCATTTAAACTAGATACAGTATCTGAAGTTGTATCTTCATTTAATTTTGTCTGGAAGTTCACAGCAAACATGTATGTTAGTAAATGACTTGCTATCAAGAAGTAATTTAAAGGTCTCATAATCTCACCCGTTTGGCTGATGGGGTTTCTTCGTCGCTATTCAACTTACGAGCTGACTTTGTGACCTTTGTTTCTTCACAGGACGAAGATGGGCTATAAACATAATCAGGGTCATTAGGATCATCTTCATTATTATCATTAACGGATTCATCGGAATCGGAATAATCTTCTTCGGTATTATTCATCTCTTTCATAAACTCGTCGTAAAGTGGTGAATTGCTCCCTGGTTCTTTAATACTTTCTTCGTCACTATTCAACTTACGAGCTGACTTTGTAACCATTGTTTCTTCACAGGACGAAGATTCCGAACTATAAGCATAGTCAGAGTCGTCATCGTTATCGTCAACTGTATCAGATGGATCAAACTCGTCATGATTTGGTGAATTGTTTTCCGATTCTTTAATACTTTTGTTACAGATCTAAGAAAAAGTTAATTTATTGCGCGTGATGGCTTTGTTGTAGTACCTCCGAAAGGTGAGTAGACATTTTTATTACGCGTTACCAAATACCTTATTTTCCGGAGTTCGTGTCTCTTGTCCACGTGATGCTAGTTCATCGATTTCTTTGGTAACTAAGTTAATAGCAGAAACAGTGGTTCGTTGTTGCTGAATAATTTCTTTCTGTTGAATTTCAGCGTTGTTAGCTGTAATCTTCTCATCGTCACGTTTACGCTGGATGGCTTTTTTTGCGAGATCAAGCCAGTGTTGTTTTTCAGAACCTTTCCATTTTGAAAGTAACGCGGAGGCGTATTTGGAAACACTGTTTGGCCAATTCGAAACCTGATTTGATAACGAACTCAAGCTCCGACAACAAATTGCGAAACAATCATTTGCTGATAATCCTAGACTATCCTCCAGTAACTTGCAGACATAAGAATCTATGTTATGCCACTCTTTCATTGGACTTTAAGTGATATAGACATCATGCAGATGACTTTTTGGTGCCACGAAATCCTTTACATCCATAACTTGTAGCAATTAACAATATCCGAATGTCAAGAGTTAAATTTTAGTAGTCAGTACGCGTTTCGAAGTTCAGACGATCATTTAAGAAAAATATATTCACACACATGACTCGGCAGCAAATGTGTCACAGAGACCCGGATTTATTCCGATATTAAAATCGCAAATTTTTATCACGATAACGAAAAAAATTCCGATTTTATTCCGATAAAAAATTACCAATTATAGTAAGAAACATTTGATAATTCTAGCCGGCCTACATCTTAATGCAGGCCAACTTAGGTTGCGCTAGTGACACGACAATAATTTTTAGTCAAAAACTGTATAGATATTACAAAATTGCAAAATCACATTTTTTAGTTAGACTTCTATCACGATATAGTCAATAAAATATGCAATAATGATTGGCTAGTTGTCACGTGCCGGAATAAAATTGTTAAAAATCATAAAAATTCCGTTTTATTCCATAATACAGCAAAAATTCTGATTTATTCATTTATTATAAAAATGGAATTTTCCCGGGTCTCTGAAATGTGACTTGTATCGGAAATATCGGAAAGGTGTGATGCCTAACCGTCACCGTACACGTAACTGCCGCGTTCGCGTTGTTTATATTTATCTCAGCGACTTTGAATTTTTTTGTAGTCTGATCTCTATTTGTCACCCGCATAATATGTCACCTGTGTTACCATAAACATATAGCCGAGGGAGTGGTAAGATGATCCCATACTGTATATTAAATTAAAATACGAGATAATACGATAATACAGTAACGAACATCGCTACATAGCCCTTTTGTCGAGGGACACGTAACTTTTGTATCTTGAGGGCTTTTGCTTGCTTGATAACCTCCGCTCTTGAAGTGGTTGTGGTTGCGATGTCTTTCACACTTTCCCTACGCCAACAGACCTTCGGCTCCAAGGCTTATGGACTTTCGACTCCGGGAGGTGTATCGTCACTCGTCTGCTGTAGCTAACAAAAAACAGTAGTCTACACACACACATACCCCCATACTACAGCGCATTCGCGTTCCATGAAATTAAAAAATANAAGTGGTTGTGGTTGCGATGTCTTTCACACTTTCCCTACGCCAACAGACCTTCGGCTCCAAGGCTTATGGACTTTCGACTCCGGGAGGTGTATCGTCACTCGTCTGCTGTAGCTAACAAAAAACAGTAGTCTACACACACACATACCCCCATACTACAGCGCATTCGCGTTCCATGAAATTAAAAAATAAATGCCTGATGTTGGTAACAAAACACTTTATTATTTATTCACTTGCACGTTCAAGAAGTTAACACAATATCAATTAATATGAGCATTTTCAGAAAAAAAATTTCCGGAAGCGATTAGGCCATTTAATGCGAGTCCCAGCATCAAATTATTTCTTTGCTCTCTCAGATTTCAGATAAATTTCTATAGCAAATTTGTTTCTATTGCTAATATTTCTAACTATGAGATTCTCATCCCTATACTCTTTTTCTACACTAGATTTTCGAAATAAATGAATTTTTGTCTATCTATATCTCTCCCAAACACACAGTTTATGTAAAATAATATTCCCCGAATAATATTCCCCGTAATGAAACTTCTCCGAAATTAAGTAATTTCGAATCTACGGCATAAGTTCTGGAGATTAGCAACTGAGGTAAAAAAATTATTTCCGATTCACACTAACCATTACTATTAACAATTCCGCCTGAAATTTATTACTTAATGCATTACAATAAAGGTAATTCTGTTTTTTTATTGCGCCAAATTCATTAGACACACTGCGCCAAATGAGCGTGATGTTAAGGCATGTGACGAGATTTATGTGAGTGATTTCACTGCGCCTATTATACGCGTGATGATGGTCAGTGATTTTCTCGGCGAAGATCAAAATGGCTGATATATAGTAAGAAATGTAATATGTCCGTTTTATTTTGGGACATCTATAGAGGAGGAAAAATAGATTAACATCGTGATGACATGTTTCAAGAAGCTAACCGCCAACCTACCTTATTATAACTTGGCGGAATATGCGAGTTCGTTTGATTGTTGATTTTGATGATGTTAATAATGGTAAGTTTTATTTTTCGTTTGATTTTTGCTTTAGTTGCGCAAGACAGATAAAAGAGTTCATTAACCAGGACATCACCTTTTTATATGATTCGCAGGATCGATTTTTGAATAGGCTTTTGGAGCAAATTACGTTAATGTGATAGGGACCATGAACAATATAAAATTATGTAAAATATTGTGCAAAACTTAAGAATATTGTATATATTTATATATTAAAAATAATATAAATTTACACTTTTAATTATAAAATATTTTATTTCAAAATACACAAAATTACACTTTTAATCACTAAATATTTCATTTTAAAATACGTAAAATTACACTTTCAATTATAAATATTTTTATTTAAAAATATATAAAATCGCAAATAATTTTATTTAAAAATACAAATTTAATTAGCACCACTATACATTTTTCTATATATTCTTATATAATAATTTTCTATTATACCTAATCTTTCTGCATACCATTCTATGATAATATAACAATAATGAAATAAGTTAAGAATTAAGCGCAAATTCAAAATACAATATTTATTAAAATATTAAATAAGATACCTGAAGTTGATTAAAATAGACTTCTTTTCTATTTTGATTCCACTTGAATTTTCATTCAGACCAACTTAACTTATAAATAGATAACTTACTGCTGAAAGTATACCGTTCTCAAATAATAAATCCCACTCATTAGATATCATTATTAGTTTAATTTTTGAAATTTTGTCAATATACGCAAGGAAGCCTTTTTAACTTGTTCTTTTGTTGGATATTTGTATAGTCTTCAGTAATATATGAAATATAAACCTAACAAATAAAATGTTTATTAATGAGAAAACGTATATGCATTATGATAATCATTTAGTATTACTTACATCAATCCAACCGTGCCCTTTTTTGTTTGATGATACTGCTTTTAAACTTTTATCACTTGACCAAATAGCATCTTTAATTTCACTTAATTCTTTTTGGAAAGTTTTGTTATCATTTTCTAATCCCGTTACCTTGGTTGATAGAAATTTAAGGTCTTTTTGGTTCTGCATCACAACTTCAAGGATTTTCATTAATATGCGAGAATCTGATGCTAAAAAAATTAATTTCTAATATAATACATATACACAAATATAAAAAAAATAAAGAGTTGTAAATAAAAATACTTGTATTTGTGTGTAATAAGGTTGAATCATTTTCATTTGCAGAAACTTGAGAAGATTTGTTGGAATCATCAGTTTGGTTACCATCATTCTCTTCAAACTTATCATTAGAACATAATGAATTAAAGTTTTTTTAGTAGTATTTTTACATTGAATTGATGAAAAAAGTAACTTAGGAAAAGAAGTTGATTTTGGAGTGAAAATTAATGTATTTTTTTGTAAAGTAGGAGTAGAAAGTGACAAATGAAAAGGTCCAGTATTATTTCGCTCTAATAATGGTAATCATGATGATTTTTCTTTTTGGTTTTCTCATCCTTACTACTATCATCTGAACTTGATGCTATTGACCTTTTATGTTTATCATTCAAAGTCTCATCATTTATTGTTTTATCCACTACCTCTATTAAATCAGGATTTTTACTTTGACTATGACATTTACACTGAAATTTACTGAAATTTTTATTTCAACTTTGGCCTCTAAATCTGCCTCGACCTTGATTTCGACTAGCCATGTAAAAATTTATTATATATTATGATATATAAATTAAAGAGATTATATTGAAGAATATTAATATATATACAAGCAGTAAAACTTTTATGAAGTAAAAAAAAAAGAAAAATATAAACGCAATCAGTTAATAATGGTCATATTTAAACTTTTAGTCTATAAAGTTACACTAAAGTCTAAATTAAGCTTTAAAAGTTTAATAACTGCCGGATAATTTAGTGTGTTGCAGATCATCCATTAAATTATTCGGCAGATTATTGAATATTTTACGTCATTAATATCTACATCATTATCTAAACAGTACGTCTTACTTTATAATATGCTACCATACTAAAAAATATAAAGAATAAAAATAAAAATTATATATACATGGATGTAAAAAATAAGTAAAAATTCTATAACTAATTTAGTTGGATCTAATTTTATCAACAATGTTATAAATTTCCTACTTATTACTACGCCTTCTTAACATGAATTACATATCCTACAAAAATTTCTTTTGACTTCGCATGTCCTTCAGGTACCTGGACTTGAATTCAACCTTTCTTGTTATTGGTTTTACCATCATCTGCCTGCTTCAATCTTCTCTCGAAGGTTTTAGTTCATTCAAAAGTCTAACAACCTGAAAAAATATTAAGAAATAGTTCCCTTCTCTTTAATTTACATTCAAAGTCCAGTTCATCTTAGCCTAAAGAAAAAAAAAGAAAAGAAAAGTTAGTATGTTTCTTTATAGATTAAAATATGTAACAGTCAGTAACACATCTTTACCTGAAAATAAAATACTGCACACTCCATTTCAAGAGAAAGCCAGAAATCTAAAAAATGCAAGAAGAATGCCGTTAGTTGTTATTTCATAATGCCATTACTAAAGATGGGTCCTCAATTGATTTCCAAAATCCACAATATTGCGGGTTTTGAAAATCAATTGCGCTTAGTAATTCGCAAACCTGCAAATAATTTATAGTACCGCAAATAACCTGCAAACTCACAAACCCGCAAATAATCTGCAAACCTGCAAATAATTTATAGTATCGCAAATAACCTGCAAACCCGCAAATAATCTGCAAATCCGTATAGTATCGCAAATAATTCACAAATCCGCAAATAATTTACATTATCGCAAATTTGAGAATAAGTGGACAAAATTGTCCACTTTTAGTATATAAATAAATTTGGTTATATTTAATTGCGAAGATTAAATTAACATGATTCATGAGTTTACAAAATGGACAAAATTGTCCACTTTTTAGTATATAAATAAATTTCGTTATATTTAATTGCGAAGATTAAATTNTTCTTGGATGGACATTTCAGTATTTGTATTAGCAAAAACTTTATCAGATGGTATGACGCGAAACTAGGTTTGAAAGGACGACAAGAGCGAGACCAATGGCAGACTGTGAGAGACCTAACTAACGAGGAAATGGAATCCATAAAGAAGGGGAATACATACGACTTCACGAAAAAACTGCAACAAACTTCCAAGACAGCGTTCATTAAAATTATCAAAATCACAAAAAATTGGAAAGTGATTGGATATTTCAAGAACCTCAAAGAAATGGGAGAGGCAGTGGAGGATTCATGCACACAAGGAGATATCAATAGAGTTTGGTTAGTGAGAAATAAAAAGACGATATATAAAGACGGTGATGCCAAGATAGAGACGAAGAAATTACACGAGAAGAAGATCGTTCAAGAAAAGGAAACTGCTACGGATAACAGGACGAACCCACCTCTATGACTGGCCAGTGAACCGAAGACACCTATGACACCACCGGAGAGAATTTACAGAGAATTAGGGAACTTTGCTTCACGACAAGAAAGCTTACTACATCCATCAAAAGCGGAACAGGATTCAAGGATAAGTAAGACGCCAGACGAAAATGAAGTTGTTGAGATGATCAAAAATTGGAGAGTAGGAGAGAATACTCATGACCATAACGACACTTCAGAAAACAAGGGGAAACAAGTACTGAAGAAAGATAACGTAGCGCCAGAAGAAGTGGTTGAAATCATAAAAGATTACAGAACGAACAAAATTAAATATGTTCAGTATCAAGAATCAACCACTGACAGGGAGGAGCACCTGATGAAGAAACTGGATGAAGTGAAAGAAATCTTCAATCAAACATCTAACAAAATGGAATGGGAAAAAATTAACTCCGCAACATTTTCCGTATTTGGTGAGCAAATGGGGTTAACCGAATGGGCGGAAATAAAGAAGATGGCGTTGGAACCAAATAATTTTTTCCGACTAGGACATCAAATTATAAGTTTAGCGGAAAGATCAAAAATATTCCAAGAATATACTACCCTAAATGATAATTTTAAACAAAGATTGGAGAACGAAAATCGACATCAAGACGAAAAGAAGACTGGAGAAAAAAGACCAATGTTAGAATCTCCGAAGAAAGAAGAGGAACCTTCGGATTCCGATTATGCAGAGTTTGATGAAGAGAACAGTATTCCCGAGGAGTGCTGGACAACAAATTATCAAACCGTGCACCTACAAGAAATCCAATTGATGATGTTCGATGAAGTAAAAGAAGAAGAAACAACAGAAGCTACGGCATCACCATCAAGTACGAAGAGTGGAAAGGACAAGAAGAAGAAGAAGAACAACAACAAGAAGTGAAGAGAGAAAGAAGAGTCTAACAAGGAGAAATGAATTATATTTTTAATCGAAGTCACATGACATGATTCACGTAAAAAAGATTCTGATAACAAAATTAATAACAAAAATGTATTTCATTTCGAATTGTTTCATTTAGATTAGAATACTAACTTTTATTTTTTTGTAGGTATAAGGGGGATTTGGTGAAATAAATAGTTTGGGAGTGGGACCGTTGGGACTCATCTTTTTGAAGCTGCACAAGGCAGTCCTGGACGTTATTACACATTTTTCTTTTAATCCTACACTTTAAAATTTAGAATTCAAATAGTTAGGTTTCACAAATTAAATAGTCTGTTAGTTTTATATTTTTATTTTTATCAGGTATTGTATTTATTTTATCAATTTTCTGTAATGTATTTTAGTAGTATAGTTAGATAGATATACTCTGTTATAGGGTTAACATGGTGTATAAACATGTTGGCTCTACGTATCTTGTAATTTAGGGTGTCTTTAGACACTAGACCTTAATAAAGATGCATTAAAGTTTTAAAAAAAAAAAAAAAAATAGTATACGTTCTTTCAAGCATAAGAATTGCTTCTTTTATCGGTTTAAAAATATCCGATATTACGTGAACATCATCAAAAAACCCTTGTTTTTTCAAAATAGTTTTAATAGCTTGATTTGAAATTTCGTGTTCGTGATTTTCCAGAACCTAATTTAAATAAAATTAAATTTTTTTTTTTTAAAAAAAAAATAATTCATCTTATTAACATACGTGCTGTAAAGCATCTTTTAATCTCCACACAGAATGTACATATTCATAGACAGTCGTCCATCTTGTTTCTACGTAAGTCTTCAGCCCTCCGCCTTCAATATTTTTACTTTTGATTGCTTCATTGAGCCATGATGATCCAAGGGTAGAATTTTTAAAATATTTTGTGAGAATGTTTGCACATCTCACTATATATTTAACTTCATCTATTTTTACAATAGACGTGCTTATCAGGTTTACGCAATGCGCGATACATCGCACATTAATGATATTTGGGTAATTGTTAGCAATTATCTTACGTGCTGCTGCAACATTCAAGCCATTATCTGACACAATAGCAACAAACTTTTTGGCTTCCACTTTATTGATAACTTCCTCAATAACGTTAGATAAATACTCTCCTGTATGGCGAATATTTAAAAGATCCTCAAGACTTACTAAAAGATATTCTTTCCTTGACCCAGTCATTAACATGAATGCCTAAAGGCTATTCCCATGTAGATCGGTCCAACCATCCATCGCTAATGAATATAAATACATATCAAAACTGTCAATATTTTACAAAAATTTCTTCATTTTAATTTAAATTAAAAATCTTACCAATAGTAAAGTTATTGTCAGCACTTAATTCATTCATAATGCGTATATTTACGCGAGATGTTTCAGATTCTAATAAAGTACCACTCAAAACTTGCCTTGAGGGAGGATCATATCCTGGTTGTAAAGTTTTGATCAAATCGATAAACTAAGGATTTTCAATTATGCTAAAAGGAATATTGCACATTACGAATGCTTTCGTTATTGAACGATATATTTCATCACTATATCAGGAGTTCAGGACCCCAAAAAATACATAAAAAGGTCACATTTGAGTTTGCTTAAAAAGAACCTAAATTTTCATGAAAATCTTGCCTTTTTTAGATAGTGCTGGCCTAAATTTTATTGTCCGTTTTGATACTGGCCAGCATTATCATAATTCTGGCCCTGAAAAGTTGCTTATTTTAGGCCAAAATCTTGCCGATCATTTATGACTTCCATATGTATTTTTCGGGGTCCTACTATATCCTTTTTCTAACTCTTTATTCTTGTAAAAAGATCGGATGGATGTTTGGCCATCATTGAGCCTTTGTTTTTTAGTTGTTAATTCTGAGTCGCTTTCATCATCATCTTCGTTCTCTGCTATTTCATTACCTACAATTTTTGCGAACTGTAATGACACTTCTTGCGGATATTTTCGGCAATGATTTGCTAAGTGCTCATGTAAAACGTGAGGTTTCCCATCCTTCCAATAAAAGTTACAATAGCTACATGTTGCAGTGTAGTGTCCTCTTGTCTTCTGTACTCCTTTTATCATATGTCCATTCCACACCTCCGTAAAATGACGTTCTTTTCTTGGATTTTCTGAAGGTTCTGAACTTGTCATTTATCAAAGAAAAATTAGGAACCTAAAATATTAAAATAAATGACTAACGAAAAATGAAATGATGAAAATAAGCGTGAAATATTTCGTCAACAATAATTCAGTTTTAAATTTAGGAGTATTCAGGGATGTTGAGTCACGTACTTACATAGTTACATTTTGAGAATATTAATGAATTTTGGTTAACCAGAAAAAGTAAGTTAAAGTATTTTCAAAAAAAAAAAAAATAAATAAAGTTTGAACTTTGAAAATACGTACGTTTTATACTAAATATTATAAAGTCGATCTATCTTTTTGGACACTTATTTATCTCAACTCGCATAAATATCAATTTTATCCAACTTATTTATCCCAACTCGCGTAATATATCTTTTTGGACAATTTTGTCCACTTATTTCGTAATATATCTTTTTGGACAATTTTATCTACTTATTTCGTAATATACCTTTTTGGACAATTTTGTCCACTTATCAACTCGCGTAATATATCTTTTTATTTTTTAGAATTAAATCATTTGTTATATCTTATATGCTGCGTACAATTATTTATCCCAACTTACGTAATATATCTTTTGGACAATTTTGTCCACTTTACATAATATTAAAAAAGAATTATAAATTCCAAAATAAAACCTTTTAATTGTAATAAAAATTTTGCAATTTGCATTTCATAATCTACTGCGTATACCTAATTTTACGTTCTGCAATTTAATCTAAATAATAAAAATAATAATCTGTATTATAATTAATAAAAACAATAATCTGTATTATGCCCATTCGATATACTCACTTCCTTTAAACTTCTCCCTTAAATCTCTGAATTCTTCGCTTAAACTCAATTTAAATACAACATCACTTTTTCTTTCTAGTATGGTGAAATCTTGATTCAACATAATTTCAGAAATACGTTCATCTGGTTGGCTTAAAGTAATTGATTGATGAGTGGGAATTTGAGACAAAAATATATCATAATATTTTTGCTTTACAAAAAAATCATACTTGCGACAACCTGCTTGCGCAAACTGCGCAGGTGTTATTCCATCATTAAATAACTTGCACAATATGTCGCATCCCAACCTATTTCTTTGTTCGGCTTTTTGATCGATATTAAGCTTACTTCGCATAAAAGAGATCACCCAGGATTTTGTATTTTTAATTTCTAATCTTTCAGCAAGCATTGAAAGATCATTATAAATTTGAACTAATGATGCTAAATGTAGCAAATTGAAAGATTCTGCCGCTATCACAAGGCTTTCACAACATAACTCCAGTTTTTTCCATTGATTAATTCTGTCCATAGCGGACTTTTCGTCGACAACTGTAATTTTTTCAGCCATTGACAATTCAGCCAAGGCGTTGAATATCTTGAAGTTTTTGATAGTTCTAAGGTAACGAGTTACTCATCATTTGATGCTAACAAAATATCACGTAGTTTCTTTCTCTTTTTAAACAAAAGCATTTGGGCAGAATTCAACTTTTCTTTCATAATAGTTTTATCATCATGGTCACTTTCATCAACATCCTCATCCAAGGAAATTTCAACACAGTTAAGTTTACGTTTTTTTACTAATGATGTTGATGTAGATACTAGTTCTTGAGATTCTTCTGACACTTCTAAAACTAATGCTTGTGATTCCACCGGCATTTTCATTTTTGAAGTTTGTATTTCTACTACTACAAACACTTCTGCACCGTGTACTTTTTCTGCTAATTTTAATGTGGGTGATCTTACTGGTGCCTTTGTTGTCGGTGCTTCTACTGATACTTTTTCTGGTACTGCTACCGGCAGAGCTTGTATAGATGAATTCAATTTGGTACTTTCATTATCAGCGCTTTTATTAGCCATCGGTAACGCTTGTGAAGGTGAATTCAATTCATTATTTTCATTAGCTACTGGAGGCGTATTCAGTTCATCACTTTTATTAGCTACAGGTAACGCTTGTGGAGGAGAATTTGATTCGGCACTTTTATTAGCTACCGGTAGCGATTGCGAAAGTGAATTCAATTTGGCACTTTCATTAGTTACTTGTGGCGCTTGTAGAGGTGAATTCAATTCAGTACTTTTATGGTAGCTTGATTCTCCTATTATAGAGTCTGAATTTGAAATATCAGCAGTCTGAGAATTATTATTACCTATAAAATTAAGATGTAAATTATTATAAAGTTTTGTAATCAAAAATAATTCTATGATTGACAAATATGACTTACAGAAATTATTAATTTTTGTCATCCAGTTATCAATATAATAAAAATAATCTTTCATCGCATTCCAGCTGCGATAAGCTGGTAATGTCATGCTGGTCCACGTAATATCTGAAATAGTATATTATTTTTTATGTGATTTTGGTTACCAAATTTTTCAATACATCGCAGATTTAAATTTGCCCAAATATTTTCTGCTGTATCAAAAGTTGTGAGATTGTTCATTGCCAAATCACAGTTTATAATGCAGGCAAGTTCTGAGTTATTAGACTCGCGATATAATGATGAGTGAGAAGTTGATGTTGAAGATTCAAAGGGGGCATGTTCGGGTATTGAATAATTTAACAATTGTTTTAAGGATTCATCAATATTAGAATCAGTATTAGCTGTACCAGCTGTGTCACTTGAACGCGTATTTTCTGCCATTACTGGAGTAGAGTACTTTTGCAATTTGTTTTATTATTAGAAATTAATAAAGAAAAGGTAAGATATAAATTTTATAAATTAAAAATTAATATCATTTTTATACTTTACCTCTAAGCTAACATTATGATTCAAAACTAATTCATATTTACTTTTATATAATTCATATAGAGACTTGTAATGCTTAAGTTCAGCCAGATTATCCTGAAAAAACAAAAATAAAATTAAAATTAAAAT